TGCTTGGTAAAAAGTGAACACATATCATTCAAACATAAGGGAAAAGGAGTGCCCCACTTCCTAGATCCAATAATGACCTCATTCACATAATTTGTGTCTAAAATTAAATTAAGGCATGAAAGGTTTTCTGAAGTTTTTTTTTTTTTTGAAACGATCATGTGCTCTTGCAAATGCCAGCAGAGAACAAGTGAATGAACAAGTCATAAATGAATAGTGACAAAGGGTTTCAGGGATCATATTGTTCTATCATCTGAGTGGGACACATTTCCTTAGTTTGTGCTGTTTTTTACCACTTAAAATAGGTTAAAACTGTCCTAGCCTGGAATTGATATGATAAATTAAATGTAAAGTTTTTATTTTATTTTGAGACAGAGTCTCACTAAGTTTGTTCAGAAATGTTTACCCATGAGCACAGCTTTCTTGCTTTGAACCTCAGCAACCAGCAATAAGAAAATTTAGATAGCAAAAATGATGTGATATCAGGAAAAGGATAATGAAGCAGGAAAACCATCACTTTATAATGACAAGGTTGGCACTCCTGGAAATACACTTGAAAGGAATTATCTTTGGCAAGCAAATCATTAAATTTGCCTGCTAACAGCAGAAAGCTTGTTACTTGGAAGTATGGGAAGAAACTATCTGAATTTCTATGGGTGGGTTTTAAAGACTGTCCTCAACCTCTCTGAGTTGTACATGAAAAGAAAAAGAAAAAAACCTCCCAAAACTATTGGTTGTTGCCACCTGTAGTATTGCCATTGGATTTTCTCAGCAGGGATATGCCATTTATAGTTCATTTCTGCAAGCAATGCTTTCTGTAATTAAGAGCCATACCAAATTATGGAAAATCTCATATCGCAGGGCTGGACATGCCTGTTAATAATGTGACTCAGGAGGTTGAGGAAGGAGGATTGCAAATTGGAAGCCAGCCTTAGCAATTTAGTGAGGCCATAAGCAACTTAGTGAGACTCTGTCTCAAAATAAAATAAAAAGGGCTGGGGATGTTGCTCAGTGATTAACTACTCCTGAGCTTTACCCAGTACCAAAAAACATAATAATATCTAAGAAGCGTGAGACTATATGTAGAAGTAAATCAATTTTACTTTGGGGAAAATCTTAGGAAGATGTCAATTTGTCATAATATCCAAACCTTCTTCTATAATTAAATATAAATCTATGTACCAAGTGGAAGAACACCATGAATGTACAAGCTGTGAGCTGGAACCCAGGGGCACTTTACTACTTAGCCACATCCCTAGTCCT